GCAAATCTCCCTGCAGCTGCGTTATTGCAGGGAAAATACTCTTCAATTGCCCTCTCCTTGATTGCTTCTTCTAATGGAGGACTTTCTGTTTTTTCAGGGAAGGATCTTCATCTTGTACAAACTACACAAATTGTCATTTTCAACTTCTTTTTTCTTCTTTTTTTTCATTTGTAAAGTTTTGGATTGTTTTAATCTTTTTTGATGCATGATTTGCAGCACATATGATTTTTTTTGGGATTGTTGTAATAAGAAGAGTCTGGGACACATGATGTTTTTGTTAGTTCTTCATCCTTCGCTCTCGTCTATTTGTTTTTTTCTTTCTCATTGTCCCTATATAATAAATTATTATACGAAGAAAACAAACCAATTTAATGAAATTATTGTCAGGTTGCTTTCATTTTTTGTTTCAACCACAATAATTCATGATAGATTTTTGTTATTTTTTTGGAAATAAAATTAAAAATCAAATTTAATGGATTGTACATGCTTTCCAAAACAATTTTGAAAAAATTAACTTACAATAAGTGAAAGTTTTGCAGTTAGATAGTAAATCAGATAACATAATTTTATTAAAACTAAATTTATTCAACTATTTACTCAAAAAATAATAATAATATTAAAATATTTATTTATTTTATAGATACATCACAGATGTCTTATATCAATGGTTGCTCTTTCTAAAAATATGAACAAACTGAGACTGAGATATACGATGTGGGTCACGGCTATATATAGACCAGTCACATGTTTCGGTTTACCAACTTGGAAAGAATATTAGTTCAATATGTTATAAATAGTAGTTTATAAATTACCTTATGGAAAAAAATAATATTAATTAAGTGCATACCAAAAGCAAAACAAAAAAATATTATTCAATTCCTAAGAGGATAATAATTATTTCATATATAAAAGAAAATAACGCAAACGTTTATTTTAAAATATTAATATTAATCTAAACAAGTATCTTATTTTTTTTTAAACCAAGTATCATAATTATATTTAATGATTCAAAGTTGGTATTGTTAAAATTATCATTTTATTCAACTTTAAAACAACCGGACCGTAAATATATTTTGGTTTTCAAATTTATACAATTTACCCATACTTATTTTATTTGGCCTCTTTTAATACATTTAGTTTAACTTGTTTTTTGAAAACACAAACACTTGTTTCTTTCAATATTTAATAAAGTTTACAGAAATAAGTTGATATTTCTCTAAATTTATATAAGCTCAACTAAACACACACGTTATTGATGATATTAGTGCTTGCTGCTAATTAGGTGTAGATTTATTAGAACTCTTGGACTTTTAATGGTTAGGTTGGGCTTGATGGGCTTTCCAGAAACAACTCCCATTTGTTTTTTTTTTTAAAGAACTATTTAAAAAAAAAACAATTTTTTTTATATATAAATACTTGTTTAAATAGACAAACCAACAACATGCATGCAGTATGGGTGTTGAGATTAGTCTCTCTGAACCTATTGTTGAGAGTTGAGATTGCAAACTACAATATAATTTTCTTTTATATTATTATAAATTTTAATGTATTTTTGGTTATTTTATATTAGTATTGTTAGAATGTTATATATATAATACTGTACGTTTCTTTTAAAAAATATATAAAAAATTACAAATATATATTCAAATAATTTTGAATTTACATTTTTATCATTTTTATTTAGATATTTTAAAAGAAATATTTTTGTATAAATATATTTTCATTTGCATATATAACTGAAATATATACATAATTTATAAGATTTTTTAATTATATTTTATAATTATTATTCATTATACATTCCCGTCATAAAGAAATAAAATATTTACATTAACTATAAACAAAAGAGATGAGTATTTGGACTTACGGATTACAATTAAAAAAATATTAATACAAAGATAAGACAATACTTATATAGTTATAGTTTTAGTCTTATTTTATTTTGGTTAATAATTAAGAGACCCGTAAGTTTTTCCCTAATAATTTTAAGTTAATTTATTTTACTTTTAATTCTACTTCATGTAGTATTTTACCTTTGTGTATAGAAAATAATTAAGTTTTTTTAAATATGATAGTTATGATTCAAATTAGATAAAGTGAAATTTGATAGAGACAAAATCTATATTATTATTAGACGCAACCAACAACGGAATGATGCATGGTCAAAAATTATAAACGTAAAAAAAAAATAAAGTTTCTTCTATATGTGTAATTTTAGTAGGTATATGTGTCTCGATAAATATATTTTAGATATATATATTCTTCTTACTAATATTTGCATGTGTTGATCCAAACTAACTAATTTTTCCATCTTCTTTATTTTAGCGTTGAGAGTATCTGAAAAAAAAAACTAAACAAATAAATAAATAAAACTCTAATGCTCAAATAAGCAACAACCTTAAAATTGAATAATGAAGTTTAGATTTCGAAAAATGTAAATGTATCTCTTTATATATGTCAAAATATTATCTTTAATGTCTTGATAAAATAATTGAATAAATAAAAATATTTAAACAATATATAAGAACAAGTAACTTATAACTATCAAGAAGATAGGTTATTATCTTTAATGATGTAAGTGAGATTTTTGTCACTTTTCTCACACTTCCACGATTATATTTACTAATTGTATTATGATAGTTATTTTTTCTTGCTTACCCATTCATGGGTGAGTTTGAATGTGCCAACCTTTAAGTTGATATTTAGTCCAAATGACTAGATTGTAGTATTGATGTTGATTGAACTAGCAAACAACTTGATCTAGCCAAGTAATTCTCTACTCTACAAATAAGATTTTTATGGATGAGGTCTAATTTGTTTTAAATAATTATTTAATATTTCAATATTAAAAGTTAAAGAAGAGAATTTTTTAAATTAATTTTGTAAGATTAAGAAAGAGTTTAAAGAATTACGGAAGGAGTTTTTTCTCTCTCATAAATTTGTTTGGTTTCGAATGAGGAAATAATAAAAAAAATGTAATTATAAATTAAATGACTATTTTACCCCTAATACATAAATTTACCGTAATTAAAAACTTCAAAGATCAAATTCTTTGATCATGGAAATCAATTTGGTTCATATCATTTATAATAATTTATTTTTTTTAGAAGATTGAGAATCGACCATTACCAATATAATATATTTATGAAAATAATCAAGTTTTTAATATAAAAACATGATTATCAATATATTTCCATTTTAAAACACACATCCAAAAGAGTCTTTTACTATTTTGCTGTGGATATTAAGGATGAACATGCTTAACTAAAATTATATCAAAGTTATATATCATAGATTCACTTTAAAAATGTCTACTACCATTTATACATATACACTTCCAACAGAGAAAATTGAGGAACTTGCAGCAACGATGCCAATGTCGACGTTGAGCATAGGGAAGAAGAGGAGACTATAGTTGAAAATTAGTAGGATGTGGTAGGGGGAATGGTACCCACTTCTTTTGTAAATTTCTATAATCTAGTAAATTTCATGTTTTTAGTTTTCATATTACTTGTATACATTTTAATTGTTTTCCGCCTTTTATGTTCCAAATCCTATATACATTCGTTGCTTATGTAATCTAAATACCTTGGTTTGGTATTTAGCCAGAAACTTGTACTTGGTCAAGGTTGAATACAAAGATTTTATATTTGAGTTTTGGTAACAATATTTTATACTTGGGTTTAGGTACTTGATTGAGAACTCATGTTCAACCAAAGTTGAATACCAAAATTTTATTGTTGGATTTTAGTCCCCTAAAGAATCAAAAGAATTTGGCTTCCATGTTGGATCATAATCAAGTATTTTTGTACTTAATTCTGACTACTTGATCAATTGTTACAACTTGGTATTTTGTTGCTAAATGAGAGCCATTTTCCCCTCACGTTGCCTTTGTTGTTGTTCACTTTGCGTTTCCCATTGTTGTATTTTTCATTGTAACTCATTCGACACTTGAGTGTTCGATATTTCATAATTTTGATTTGGTGATCCTCTTGTTCCAATTATTGTTTATCAGTTCAGTAGAATCCGTATGAAAGAATTTTCCATGGCTCTATGATAGGCACCAAATGTGCTTGCCAAAAAATGGAGGCAAAAAGTTTTCTCTTCAAGGTCCTCAATCCTCAACTCTTTGATCATAGGTCTTTAAATATCAAATGTTGGTTTTACCTTCAAAAGAGACTTCAATGCCAAAATTAGTAAGAATTCAGAGTGTTCCATGTGTTTTATAAGATTACGTATCTCGTGAAGGTATCATATATACATATATATTTATAGTTAAAAGAATATTATAATTGATGATTTGGTCATTAATTATATTCAAGAGTTTTTATTACATTGTAATGGTTGAACCATACTCTTCATCATGATTATGGTGGGGTGCTCGGCTAGACTAAATAAATCTTAACCTTATGATTTACTTATTTGGTCTTTCATTGGCTAGTAACAGACAACATTTCGATTGCAAGATCTATTCGATACAAACTGAATTTGACAATTCACCCATTTGAACATAACTTAAATTTGTTAATTCTTTTTTTATTGTGTTTAAGCTCTACCAAACATAGTTTAAATTTTTGTTTTATTTTCTTCTGATATAATTTTACTTTGCTTTTAGTGGTTTCCTCCGCCAGAGTATAACCACAAAACTTTAGTAGAAAACAACAATACTCTAGTTTGTCAATGATCAATATATGTGTAATAGTCTTTATTGGATAGAGATTAATAGATCTCATTTATTAAATTACTCATATAAATAGTGCATATAGGGATATAACTATTGAACAGACTCTATAAAGGAGAATTCCTAATGGTTATGTATTACCTTAAAATTTTTCTAATAGGAAACTCTTAAGAAGAAATATATAATTTTCTTATAATTATAACAAAAGTACTTCAACGGAAATCTCAACAATTATACAGATCTGAATAAAGCTTGTCCAAAAGACGCATACCCTCTACCCAGTATTGACAGACTGGTAGATGGAGCCTCGGGCTACGCAATGCTGAGCTTCTTAGATGCCTACTCAGGCTATAACCAAATCCTCATGTATCCCCCAGATGAAGAATACACTGCTTTTATCACAGAACAAGCCAATTACTGCTATTACGTCATGCCGTTTGGACTTAAGAATGCTGGAGCAACATACCAGAGATTAATGGACAAGGTTTTTACTGACCAGATTGGTCGTAACCTTGAGGTCTACGTTGACGACATGGTCGTCAAAACGAAGTCAGCCACAGATCACGCCCAAGACCTCGAGGAAATCCTCCAACAAGTCAGAAGGTATAACATGAGATTAAATCCTAAAAAATGTGTTTTTGGAGTTCAAGGTGGAAAATTTTTAGGGTTCATGATTACTTGCCGGGGAATAGAAGCGAATCCAGACAAGTGTCAGGCGTTGATCAACATGAGGAGTCCCCAAAATCATAAAGAGGTGCAAAGATTGACAGGCAGACTTGCCAGTTTATCTCAGTTTATTCCTAAGTTGGCAGAAAAAGCTAAACCTATTTTTAACTTGCTCAAAAAACTCAAAGATTTTCGTTGGGATGACCGATGTGAACAAGCATTTACTGATTTCAAACATTTTTTTATCTTCACCTCCCATCCTGACCAAGCCTCCGGCTCAAGCCGATCTCTGGTTATATCTCGCCGTGGCAGACAATGCAATCAGCGCGGCACTTGTGCAAGCTGACGGTAAAACACAAATTCCTGTTTATTTTATAAGTCGTGTTTTGCAGGCAACCAAGCAGAGATACCAGACTATAGAGAAGTTGGTCCTCGTCCTGATAACATCAGCTCGTCGCCTTCGACCCTATTTTCAGAGCCATCAGATCGTAGTCAAGACTGACTATCCTATCAAACAGATCCTTCAAAAACCCGATCTTGCAGGTCGGATGACAACATGGTCAGTTGAGCTATCTGAATACGGAATCAAGTATGAAAGCCGAGGAGCCTTGAAAGCACAGTGTCTTGCCGATTTCATAGCCGAGCTCACCCCTAGCGTCCCATTGGAGGATCAATGTTGGATTTTACACGTTGATGGCTCGTCTAACACCAAAGGTAGTGGAGCCGGAATTATTCTGGAAGGCCTTGATGATATGATGCTTGAAATTGCAATTAAGTTTGATTTTCAAGCTACTAACAACCAGGCAAAGTATGAAGCTCTACTTGCAGGTTTAAGGCTCGCGAAGGACGTCGGTGTTAAGAAACTCAGATGTCATAGCGATTCCAAATTAATTACTGAGCAAGTCGAAGGAAGCTACCAAACAAAAGAACCTCAGCTACAAAGGTACAACCTTATGGTCTCTCGTTTGACCTCTTCTTTTGACCATTTTCAGATCGAACATGTCCCAAGAGCACACATTATTAGAGCTGACCTTTTATCCAAGCTAGCCAGCACCAAGCGTCCAGGACAACACAAAACAATTATCCAGGAGACAATTAGCGCACCAAGTTATGATTCAGTAGCAATATTGACTAATAATCCTGGTCAGTCCAGTTGGATGCTAAGCATTTGGCAATATCTCACAGACGGTACTTTACCGAGCGACAAAGTTGAAGCTTCAAAGATCAAAGCCAAATCTTGCCATTTCACACTCGAAGCTGGTGAGCTGTTCAAAAGGGGATTCTCAGTTCCCCTTTTAAAATTCCTTAACTCAGATCAGGCTGAGTACGTAATGGACGAGATCCATAAAGGTATTTGTGGTATGCACTCTAGAGCTCGGTCCATGGCTGCGAGGGTGGTCCGAGCTGGCTACTATTGGCCAACTATGAGGTCGGATTGTAAAGCATATGTACAAAAATGTCAAGCTTGTCAGAAATTCGGCAATCTGCATCAGTTACCCGCAACAGTACTACACTCAATGCAGTCAGCGTGGCCCTTTGCGTGGTGAGGTATGGACATACTTGGCCCTTTCCCAATTGCCAAAGGCCAATTGAAATTTCTGGTGGTAGGGATTGATTATTTCACAAAGTGGATCGAAGCTGAACCTGTAGCTCAGATTACAGCAGCCAATGTGCATCAGTTCACGTGGAAGAAAATCATTTGCAGGTATGGCCTACCGCAAGCAATCACCACAGACAATGGCAAGCAATTTGTGGACAAAAATTTTGAGCAATTCTTGAAGCAACTCGGAATTAAGCATAAAGTCACCTCAGTAGAACACCCACAAACAAACGGCCAAGCTGAGGCGGCAAATAAAGTGATTCTCCGCGAACTCAAGAAGAGACTAGGATCCTCCAAAGGAGAGTGGGTTGAAGAATTACCTAGTGTTTTGTGGGCATACCATTGCACACCACAGACCACCACCCAAGAAACTCCCTACAGATTGACCTATGGCTCTGATGCAATGATACCTGTTGAAGTTGGCGAGCTGAGTCACAGAAGATTAACATTTACTGAGTCCCAAAATGGAGAACAACTGAGCTTGGACAGAGATTTACTTGATGAAACAAGGGAACATGCCCGAGTTCAGGAAGAAGCATGCAAACTTCGAGCATCACGGAGGTACAACTCGAAGCTCAAACCGAGATCCTTTCATGAGGGCGATCTCGTCTTGAGGGCCACAGGCGACGCTAGGAAAGATACCTCAACAGGAAAGTTCGCAGCCAATTGGGAAGGTCCTTTTCGCATCCTAGAATGCCTACAAAATGGAGCGTATAGACTAGCCGAGCTCAGTGGCAAAGTTCTTCCTAGAACTTGGAACGCCACCCATTTGAAATTTTATTTCAGTTGAAATGTGTAAACCCAGGTAATGTACTCTTTTTCCTACTTCAGTCTTTTTCCCAATAAAAAAAAGGGGTTTTGGCTGAAGAGGTTTTAACGAGGCATACTTGAGGTCAACAAGAGAGATGTAATGCACATATAACTCAATATCACAAATTCTCTCTTCTTCCAATTTTATTGCTTCTCTTTCGTTGCCTTCCGATTTTATCAATTCCCGCTTTAACTTATTGCTAATTTTTAACTCATCACACTTAAAAATTGGCCAAACCTGAGCCAATATTAACGAATTCATCCGAATTGTGATCGACGTTAACTCTACTTCAAAACTTGGCCAAGTTTGAGCCAACGTCATTAAACTCGGCCAAACCTGAGCCAGTAATGACCATCTGAATCAATATCATATTTAACTTGAAACTCGGCCAAGTCTGAGCCGATAATGAATAAATTTACCCACCATTGGGTCGATGTTATCTTTGATAAGAAATTTGGCCAAATTTGAGCCAATGTCATTCAACTCGTCCAAGTATGAGTCGAGGTTAATGTCAACTTGAAATTTCGTTAACTTGGCCAAATTTGAGCCAATGTCATTCAACTCGTCCAAGTATGAGTCGAGGTTAATTTCAACTTGAAATTTCGTTAACTTGGCCAAATTTGAGCCAATGTCATTTAACTCGCCCAACTGTGAGTCGAGGTTAATAATTTGAAATTTGGTTAAGTTTGAGTCAATATCAATCAAGCATTATTAACCTTGGCCATTAATTACTAGATAACATTAATCAAGATCTCAAAATAGGCCAAATTTGAACCATTAACCAAGTCTTGAGCAATAATTCAGCCAAGTTTAAGCAACAATTTCGTTCAGTTCATAATGCGGCCAAGTTTGAGTCGAGTTTTACGATTTATTTATGATTTAGCTGCCAATTTTACGTTGATCCTATTTTTATCTATATATTAGATAAATCGTTCACGTAAGAGCCAATTTCATCACTTTCAACACAAGTTATTTGCCCTAGTCTCAATTCACGACATAACTAAGTCCGACTCAAATCTGGGCATAGTAATATAAATAACATTCAAAACTTCACAAGATTGTCAGCAATTACATAACGTGCCTATGAATACGTTGGTAAACAATAGTAAAGTAAGCATAAATCCTACATGCAAAATATCCATTAAATTAGCAAAGCTACTCAGTATTCTCTTCGCCGCTTATATCATCAGGGATGTTGTCTTCATTAAAAAGTTCTCCTTTGAAAACATCCTTGGCGATATGAACTGCTTTTAAATCAACATGTGGGGCAATGCATTTCACCTGTCGCAAGGCTTTAGCAAATCCCTTCTTGTGTTCTGCGACTACTTCATACTCGGTAGCCTCCATCTCTTTCTTTAGCCTCTTGTTCTCATTATCCATTTCCTGCATCTTCCTCACATTAGTAGCAATAACATCTTGACAAGCTTTATTCTTCTTGTAAAGCTCCACCATTTCGCCTTTTAAGCTCTGCATATTCTCCTCATGCTCCTTTGCTTTCTGTTCCAACGTCTTCACAGTCTCTGCTTGGATTCCTTTTTCTTTTTCTAAGGCACTTACCTTCTTTAAAAGTTCCTCCACCTTAGCCGCGTATGTCTTGTTCGATCTCACAGAAATCTCAAATGCCTTTGAGTTTTCCTCCAACTTTTTCTTTAAACTACCGACCTCGGCATTTAACGACCCAACCTGGGCATTCTCGGTCCTCAGCTTGGACATCAGTGCATCATTTTTATCCCACTTCTTCTTCCAATGATCTACCACAGCGATAGATCTTTGCAAAAACACTTGCACGGAATCTAAACCTTGGACAGGACCATCCTTTTCAATTAAAGCCTTATCATCGATATAGGCCTTATAGAATGACTCTGCTGTCAACTCGGCATTCCAAAAAGACTTCACATCGGGTGACATGCTCACATGATCCAACCTCGATAACAGATTCTCGGTATCATATCTCTGATGTATTGACCTCGGCCGATTTTTGGTTGGTCCCCCATGTAGAGTCGGCGAACTTACACCGAGTTGGGCAATTGAGGCCTCCAAATGCGACACCAACTGTTCCGATGACTCAGGAATTTGTGCGTTTGAAGGCTACAAAAAACCAATTTGAAACTAAGGTAGTCACAGGAATCATACCAAATCATACCTTTTCTAATGTACAATATCTAATAACAGCGAGAAACATACCTTTTCCTTCTCTAAATCTATCACAGGAACGGTCATGTCTTTCTCAACATCTTTCTTCGGACCACTCGAGCCCACAACGTGGGCAGCAACCTCGGGCTTGTCCCCAATCACATCGTCAGCAATCTTATGCTCCTTGGTTTTTAATTCCTCACTTCCTACCTTTTGTTTTTTTACCTTCGGCTTCGGAAGGGCAGTATCAGGAATTTCTTCTATATTGAACTTTCCCTTCAATTCGCGCCACTTACTCCTCCCCATGATACCTACATCAGCCAGCACAACGTTACATTATAATCAATCCAAGACATATTTAACCATTATCAACATTATGATTATAACTTACTTTCTAAATCCTCTTGAGGATTCTTTGATCCAGCAAGCACTAAAAGTGATTTGCTTTCTAAAGGCCGAGGTAGCTTTCACAATTTTTCTATATCTTCCACTTCGGAGGGGGTTAATTCCAAACCTTCCGAACCGGAAAATTTAATAGGTTGAGATTGCCAGTAGAACGGGAATCTCGGCTTCCCATTCAAGAAAAACACGCAATCTAAATTCAGATCACTACACGTAGACCGAATCTTGAAAAATTCCTGTTTAAAGTTTTTGTATGATTGCGTGAATATATGGAACAATCCTCCCCCCTTTGAACTCCCACTCAGTGAAACCCAACCATGCGGTGGCTCCCCTAACTTTATTTGATAAAAGTGCATAAATCTCGGCAAACTCACTTCGATCCCTAATACTGAACACAATATTTGAAATGCACGCAACAAACCCCAACTATTAGGGTGCAGTTGACTTGGTGCTATATTCACCCTTTCCAAAAACTCACTCAAATGGCGTGAATGGCATTAGAACACCTAAATCTTTAAACACACACTTATACATATATACACTGGGAGCCACACTTGACCCTTCGAAGTACACACGTTCCTCACACGAACAGGGTTCTATTACGATTCGCTCTAGCATGGGGGGCACACAGAACTTTAGGTGATGCTGTAAAACACTCACACCCATTAAATCCCCAAACCTGCTGCCATACTGACCAACATCACCCCTCACCCATTCATACCCAGATGCTGCAATTATGGGATGAGAATTTTTCCGATTGTTCCCCCCTCTTTTTCGCACTTTTGTCTCCTCCACCTCCACCATTTTACCTTTTCCCTTACCTCCTTTCATCCCACCCTCACCCAGAAACTTAAGTCTATAGAATGCGTCTACCCCGTAGCTAAAACTTAAACGCAACGCAGCAAGGCTGAGGAAATACCTGGCAATGAAAACGCTTTACCCCCGGAGACGTTGCTTTCACGTTTCCCCTCCTAGCACTCCCCTAAAAGCATACGAATATATGCGTCTGTGCACAAATCCCTTTATAATGGCATTATTACATCCCTCCAAAACCCAAGCGTTCCCTTTAAACCTCACACGCCCCCACGCGGCTGTCGTTTCGTATTTGACACCCATTTATTGCAACCCATCACCCTTCCAACACGTGCACTGAAACGACACGACCCTTTGCACGCCAGCTGTCATTACTTAAACACTGTGGCTCCTCACTTACTTCTTATGTATCTTTATTGCCCGCGTACGTGACACATCATCTTATGACCTCGTCCGTGACACCTCGCTTTATACCTAATCTTCAGCTCTTTCGCTCTTTCCATAGCTCTGAGCTTGGGGGGCTTATGTACCACCACCGAGGTCCACCGAGGTCATACCTGAACCTCAGTCATACCGAGATCCTAACATGACATATCGGCCAATGTAAGCTGACTTAAACCCCAACATAAACGAAACCGATCTCTCAACACATAAGAAACTTCAAACACATAACACGGGCCAATAATGATCGACATAACCATAATTAACCCACCTCGGACAACTGCTAAGGCGGGTACATCGGAAAACCCACGATAGATAATGATATAAGCAGTGCGCGTCATTGGAGA